CCACCTTAGCTTCCCAACATGGTGGTGGTATAGTTTACTGCCAGCTCTGGGTCTGGAGCCATGTGTACCATCAACTATCAGAAGCAGTTCTATCAAAGTATCGTGTAGCCCAGAAACCTCCTTTTTTTTTTTTTTTTTTTTTTTTTTTTTTGTACTAGCAAAGGCTAAATCCACCACACAGCAGAGTAATGTGGTGCTTGCAGACACCTCATTCCCGCCATACTGCAGGTCAAGTATACATGCCACAAACTCGCCATACAGTAGCTCAAGCATGCAGGCTGTGGCTAACTTGAGAGAGACAACTAGGAAGCTGTTTTAGTTCCGTCCCAGAATCGTCTTTCTCAGGTTTTAGGTGGAAACTCGAGCCATTGAGCGCCATTTGTAGGTGGAGTTTTCTCCAGTCCTGCCTGGCCCATGGTCAGGACAAATCTCTCTCACCCACCAGTTCTGCAGCCACTTAGACCCAACACACAGACTTATACTGCTTACAAACTGTATGGCCATGGCAGGCTCCTTGTTATCTAGTTCTTCTATCTTAAATTAACCCATTTCTATAAATCTATACCTTGCCACATGGCTTGTGGCTTACCAGTATCTTACATGTTGGTACTCATGGAGGCAGCTGGCAGCATCTCCCTGACTCGGCCTTCCACTTCCCAGAATTCTCTTCTCTCCTTGTCCCACCTATGGCCAATCAGTGTTGTATTTATTAACCAATCAGAGCAACACATTTAACATACAGAACATCCCACAGCAGTTTCCCCTCCCCGGACTTCTCCCAGATCCTCCCTATTTCCCTCCTACCTGAAAAAAACATCTTTTCTATCTCTTCTTAGAAAACAGGCATCATAAAAGTAATGGTAATAACAAAATAAAATAAGATACAGTAAGAACAGACCAGAATAAACAAAAGCAGAAAAAAAAAACAAAGAAAAAGCACAAGAAACACAAAAACACTGACATTATATTCACACAGAGAGAAAACCCATTTAAAAAAAAACAAAACCAAAAACTCAGAAACCATAATAAACAAGCAAAAGGAAAAAAAAATCCCAAAGTGTTATGAGACAAAAATCCTCCCAAAATACCATTAAGTTTATTAGGTGTTGGCTGTTGGACATGGGGCCTATCTTTAAGTGTGGTTTTTGTACCCAGTCAGACTCCATCGGAGTGATGAGAGGAGAAGTGGACACAAGTCCACATCCCTAACTCAGAAGCTATCTCCGATAAATTTGTTTTATTTTTAATTGTGTATATGTGTGTGGGGGTGGTGAGTATGTGTGCATGTGCATGAGCCTCTCTTTTATTGCCAGTTAAAAAGTTCTTTGGAGATATCCCAAATATATTTATGCCATAGCTAAAGTAATATGACCATCAATTTTACCATATATATATGAGACAGGGTTTCTCTGTGTAGCCCCGGCTGTGCTGGAACTTGTTCTGTAGACCAAGCTAGCCTCAAACTCAAAGATCTGCCTGCCTCTGCCTTCTAAGTGCTTGGACTAAAAATTACCACTATTAAGAAAAGATTTTCATTATACCCTTGGTTGAGTATGACTGAGCTTCATGCACTAGCTTCTGCAAATTTTTCTTTCCACGTTTGCTAGAAAGATGGAAGAGCTTTCCATGGCAAGCTGGCATGACTTCTCAGTGCATTTGAACTGCTCTGTAGGTTTCCATCACAGTAGCTCTGAGTAATCTCTGTCAGGGCTAGCCCATATGCAATTGGAAAATGGGGCTGCAGACAGCCTATCCCCAAGCTAGCCTTTTTCCAAACCATTCTTGGATACTGTTTCTTCAGTAGTGGAGCAATAGCATATTTAAGGGATGTGAAGGCTTTGGGTTCCTCTCACAGGTTGGGAATCAGAAAGGAGAAAAGTATTAATACATGTATTATTTTTCATCTGGTACCCTAAAGGAAGTAGTTATAGTACCTTCCTTCTCTGAGACAACTTCACGGAACATGCTAATGAGTTGATTTCTTTTAGTGAGTTGACAATCTTCCCATTTGTCTGAAGGGAAAGAGTATTTAAAATTTCCAGCTGTCTCTGAGAAAGCTTGCTAAACTGTTCCTTAAGTCACTATCGGCACAGTAAACAAGGTCAGTTGGTTACAAAAGAGGTTTAGATGAAAATGTCAACTTATCTTTCTAGAAAGAGAAGACCAGGAGGAAGATGATGCTTTGAGGCCATGTTGGATAATGATACCAAAGACAGCAGTTAACCCTTCTCAAGGGTCTGCCATGATTATTTGTCATTGATTCTTTCTTTGAATCCTTACAACAACCTTATAAGCAGGGCACTTGAGAAACTGTATTTATTTACATGTGCAGAAACTAAGGTTGATACAGTGCCTATTGATAAAACCAGTGTTGAATAGAGGATAGAAACTTAAGTTTTATTCAGCACCTCAGCTCTAAAAGATGTTTTCCTCTGTTATAGAAAGAAGTGTGTGGAACTTGGGCTGGCAAGATGACTAAGTTGGTAGAAGTACTTGTCATAAGGCCCAAATTTCTTCCCTGGAACTTATAGTGGAAGGAACCAATTCTGCAATGTTGTCCTGTGACCTCGATATGCACGCCATGGCATGTACCCCCATACACAACATCATACACATCATCATAATAAAAATTATTTAATTAAAGAAATTTGTGGAGCTAATATGACTATGATATTTGTAATAAAATGATTTGCCTCACACCACCAAATGCAGAATGAATGCTTTGAGAAAAAATTCTATATGGGGAAAGGAGAGGTAGTTTTCTTTAAGGGTATGGTGCTTGATAGATTGACCATGCTTTAGCAAACAGTCATGTACCCATGAATATTTGGGCAATACAAATTGAATTTGCGGGTTATTGGAACAAGGGATGGAGGATGGGGAGGTATGGGAGTATCTAGGAGTTGTTATGGGGAAAGTAGGGAATAAAAATGACCAAAATATATTGTATGAGATCATGAAAGCTTAACAAAAGTATTATATTTTTAAAACTAGGGAAAGGGTAAGTTCACTGAATTTATGGAATAGAAAATTTACATAATGAGTGACTATTTCTCTGGCAATGGGATAACATTCAATTAACTTGTCAATTTGTAATAGAACATGGAAACATCTAGAAAAGTAGTAGCAATTTTTTCATACTGACTATAAATATAGCAGGAATTCGCAAAAAAAAATTATCAATGAGCAAATAGGGAATTCTATTTTCTTCATGTAAATAATGAAACTTAATAATGAAAAATATGCAAGTTGGATAGTCAATACAATGATGTACCTTTTTAATGTACTCATCAACTATGATCTTCCACAAATACTTAAGGTAAAGAAATCTCTGTTTTCTCATCTACAAAATAGTGGCAACAATCCCTGCTCTGCAGAATGGCTATGAGAAATAAATCATATGAACCTCATAAAATGCTCGGGCCAACACATTTACTAGGAACTCAGCAAAAAGTCCCTTTACTGTTATTGTTATCGGGAGTGGGCTCTGCTGTGACCCCACTCTGGTGCATACTTAGGAGCCTAACACAGTAGTCATTTGCCAGCAAAGTTGTGGAACCCACACTGGTGTTCTATTGTACAGTAGGCAATGATAATAGGCAAAACCCAATGCATTATATGCTCAAAAATAGCTAGAAAAGAGGAATTAAAACGTTCTCACCAAAGAGAAATAATGAATATTTAAGGTGACAGATGGGCTAATCACCCTTACTTGATCATTGTATAATGAACAGACATATTAAAGTATTATAGTATTAATCTACAATATATGTCAACATTGTATGTTGATCAAAATTAAAATAAAATAAGAAAATAAAGTCTAATATTGTACATTGTATGGGAGGATTCATTGATATAGATAAAATTCTTTCATGATAGACAAGGCCTTTACATTAGTAAACCCAAAAACTGTTAATTCAATGTTCTTACAGACAAAGACTCAAATTGAGTGTTTAAATCTATTTTTTCTTATTTTATCTATTTTTTCAGCCAAGTAAAAAATTCAAGTGAGTCAGTGTAAAACACAAGTGTATTAATAAATTTCTGAAGAAGAGGGAAGGTAGGTCTTAATATGACTGTGAGGAGCCATGGCAAGGAGACTGACAGATGGTCAGTATAGACATTACCTTCATCCTCACTGGCTCTTACCTTACACATGTCACTGTCATTTTCACTGGAATTTTAGCTAAAATCTCCCCAGGGTCTACTTTTGTACTAATAACTTTTTCATTTGGTCTCTGCTGTATTTTATTTTGATTCTGTGTTTGAATAATCAAGGACTGTGTCACTTAAACCCTGAGGAAAAAAATTAAGACAGTTATGGTCCCAACAATGCTTGATTCCTAATTTCCCTGCCTGGTCTACAGATTTTACCTGTCTGATCTACACACTTAGAGATGGTGATACTGCAAACTTAATTTTTAATTCAATATTAACAACATGATTATCATATAGCAACCACGTCTTTATTTCGTTTCTGTTACATAAACACAGCTACTACAAAGTTTTGTTTAAACAAAATTAAGGTTGTCAGTCTAATAATCAATATATTTTTCTTGAATTTTTCAAGTTACCAAAGTGAAAAATCTGGCAATGCTAAATAAAGAAGCCATATTACATTTAAGTGTATAGGAGTTCTAGTTGGTTCTAGGAATAAAATTACAATAAATATTCACTGTCCTAAGAAATATACATTATATGTTCAAAATAACAAGTGTACAAAATAGCATGTCTTTTTTTGCAGAGATTCTTTCTGTCTAGATTCTTCTGGATGTAAAGTTAGTATAGAAGTGTCATTCGATGGTAGCTAGTGATTTTGAAATGAACCTGAAATAAAGAGTGTGAGGAGTATTTGCTATCAGCCAGGTGTTGGTTTGTTTTTTCTTTGCTGTGTTTCTGGAGACACCATCCTTAATGGGATGTACGAAGAGAATTCCACGGCTTTCAGCTGAAGCAAGGCAAGCAGGCTGTCTGATCGCTCTTCCTCCACTCTCTTCTAGGTTCTGAACCTCTTCCTGGCCTTGCTCCTCAGCTCTTTCAGCTCTGACAACCTTGCTGCCACAGATGACGATAACGAAATGAACAACCTCCAGATCGCAGTGGGAAGGATGCAAAGGGGAATTGATTTTGTTAAAAGGAAAATACGTGAATTCATTGAGAAAGCCTTTGTCAGAAAGCAGAAAGCTTTGGATGAAATCAAACCCTTGGAAGATCTGAATAACAAGAAAGACAGCTGTATCTCCAACCACACGACCATAGAAATAGGCAAAGACCTCAATTATCTCAAAGACGGAAACGGGACAACCAGTGGCATAGGCAGCAGTGTGGAGAAGTATGTGGTAGATGAGAGTGATTACATGTCGTTCATAAACAACCCCAGCCTCACTGTAACTGTGCCCATTGCCGTTGGAGAGTCTGACTTTGAAAACTTAAATACGGAAGAGTTCAGCAGCGAATCAGATATGGAGGAAAGCAAAGAGGTAGGAATATTAAAATAAAGGGATATTTTGGTATGTACTTCTGTGGCTTTAACACTATTAGTTTATATTATATGTTGCTTCCCTATAAGAAAATAGGAAATATCTACTGTAACATTCATATTGTAAAGATGATTGACAAATGAATGTTAGATTATACTGGCTAGGCAAATCGTGATTTAATTTTTCAAATAGTCACTTTCCAAACTCACAATATTTATGTGAATTTTTCTAACCATTTTAAAAATAAGTTTAGATTTAGGATACTGCCTCACTGTGTATACTTTCTTCCTTATAATTCACCACAATAATGGTTTTAGTATGTACTAAAAGATAACTAATGGCAACATGGTTCTTATTCTCATCTTGGATTCTTGCCTGCAATGAAATACTTTATAAAAGAATAGTGTCTAGTTTTCCGAGCTCTATTAGCTCATGCTAAAGCTGACTTGGATCTTAGCTTGATAGTATTAGTTTTGTGTTTGCTAAAGTAGAAATTTTTTTTAAGGAAGAGAAGTTTGTGATAGGGAATTGTATCTAACCCAATTGAGTGTGCTCAGCCTGCTTACAAAGAGAAAGTCTCCATATGTTATTGAACACAAATTCTGAACTTACTGACTCAGTGTCTTCATAATACAGTCTTTGATTTTGAGATAATTGTGAATATTAGTGAATGCTTTGTTGTGTTTTGTTTTTAACCCTTGAGTCAAAGGGGAAAAAGTGAGGTACTGTCTATTTTGCAGTGTCAAACAACTTTTTGAAGGGTAGATAACTAGATGGACTCAGAGGGTGTAAAGATGTTTGAATTAAGTGCTCTTTCTCATTTTCCCCAAATTAGCTTGATTCTTTATCAGCTTTCTGGACTACCTCGAATATATCATTTAAAACCCAAGCCCTAATCCTGTAGGCTTTAACTCTCCTGCTATTTTGACTATGTTTAATGCAATTCCCGCTATGACTTGTGAGTGCCTGTTTCTCTTTTTAACTTTTGGAATAATGTTGAATCCGTGCTTGAATGATAACCTTTCAAAGAGAAATTTAGTGGTGTAATACGGTGACCTTCACTTCTGACCATTCTTACTTCTCACAGGCGTGAGACCAAGCTGGAGCCGTCAAGAATGCTGCTCTGGTGTTTTTTAAGCATCCAGAGGCTCAAGCCACCACTTTTACCCAGGTTACCAAAGCAAGTTGTGCATATATAAATATAATCAGTGTCTACATGACTTGACTGGCCTGCATGTGACTCAGCTATGTCCCTTGCCCATCCATTGGCAGTGCAATAGAACATGCACAGCTCTTCCTAGGTTGGGTTGTATAAAGCATGGTCAGGCAAGGCTGACAATCCCAACTTCTTTCTTTTGTTTTAAGGAAAATTAATTTAGCTGCTAATTTCTTTATGTAGATTTTAATAGAAAGTATACTCATTTAAAAGTGACAGTGCATGCCTTTGCAGAGTTTGTAGCTTCCACTTAATGTCACAAGTTTGGAACATGCTAGTGGCCTGGAAGAGGACTGTAGGTACTCTCTTACAAAAAAAAAAAAAAAAACCACTGAAGGAAAGCTTTCTGTCCTCTGCCTCTTTGCTTTTGTATTTGTTTTCTTCTACTACTTTTAAAATACATCCCCAGTAAGTGTGCTATGTTGATAATATTTTGCTCAGTGTCTGAAGGGTAATGTGCAAGTTAAAGCAATCCCTCACCCTCATGAAAACTTCCCAACAGACTTTCAATGTGATAATAATGTAAATGAATGGAAGTGTTTGCATTTTGCTGCCAGCAGCAAGGGTATAATTTTCATCCACTTCATTTTTGGGAAAAGGGCAATGCTTTATTTAGCAATTGACCAAAAGCCTTTTGCATTTAGAATGATTCCCTTAGAGATTCTGTTAATGTTTACTCTTAAAATTCCTAGAATGAAAGAAAAGAAAAGAAAAGAAATGTACTCATACATCAAAATAAAAACCCCCCAAAAGAGAAAGATTGACTTCTACCTATCTTTATATGATGTGCTTATTCAGAAAAGAGATCGTCCTCACCCCTTTACCCATTGCAACTTTCTCCTCCCTGACCCCTTCTCCACAGCACCTGTCAAGCTTAGTCCGTGGCATAGTTCAGGTGCGTCATGCTCCACAGCACCTCCATAGGATAATCACAGTCAACACTTGTCTCTGTTTGCTTATTTATTAATGAGAGAACCCCCACATAGTGTGTAACTGTTCTGTGATCTCTTTTTATTTAACTTTTCACTGTCTAATATTAATTCACAATTCTGTGCACAGATATTTAAACCAAATTGTTTCTTCCGGTTTCATCATTTTGTAACATTTTGTAGAAATGTTAATAAGAAACTTTATCACTTAGAATTAGTCACATTAAAACTGTAAAATAACTCATAATAAAATCATGCTGAGATTTTTTTGAAAGGGAGAAAATCCCATAACACTATTAAAACATTCTTTAATGCTTTGGAAGAAAATTCAGTTGCCAATACCCCTGTTTCTGTCAGAAGACCAGTGTGTAAAATATCTAAGATACAGATTCCTCCCCAATTATATGTTATTTTTTATTATCTTTAAGGTAATGATTTGCTTTTTCTAGTTTCTTATAAAGAGCCAAGGTTAGTTCCTTTAGTCTCTGAATAGTCTACTTTCCACTTTCTTTAGGGAAAGGCACTGAGAGAAATAATAATCAGGTATACAACCTTCTAAAGTATCAAGGCAATATATTAACAGATCAAAAGAGAATTGATTCTTAGAATTTTTAATTCTTTTTAAAAAGTCTTTTACAGTCTTTTTTTGGAAATATGGTTCAATCCCTAAAAGAACATGCTAAATTCCAACATGAACGGCATGAAGGAGTCAAAAGTATGTGGATTAGATCTGAGCAAGCATTGGTAGGGATGATACCAACGGAAAATAACTCAAGATTTTTGCCATAAAATGAGTAGTCCTCATGGGAAAGATTCTCAGTGGGGTAATAATAAAGCAAAAAACAACAAAAACCTTCTACATATCTTTAATATCAGACCAAAATGGGCCAGACACATTGGTAATCTGCTCAGGGTAGTCCATCACGATATAAGTTTTGGTTTTTTTGTTTTGTTTTGTTTTGTTTTTGCAACTCCACTAAATTTAAAGTCTGTTTCGTATGATTTAAAGTTTATAATAAAATATCCATCATAAATAATGAAATGGTTTTTTGGTTAAATCACCATAATGAACATGATATTTTGGGTTAGTCAACTTTCTGATTGTAAAGGTAATAACAGCTTTTTCTTTTTAGTGTTTTAATGTGTCACTATGACTGTAAGCCCATCACCAAATCAGACCATGCCCTCCAATGTTGTATGTTAACATTTTCCCTGTAAAATCAACTGGCGCTCTTTCAGTGTATGCTAGCTACAGGATCCAGGTCTAAACACTCACCATTCTTTAAGAGCAAAACAGTACACGCTGGAATACTTGATTTAATCTACATTTGAAGTAAACACTTTTTGAAATCCTAGTGTTTTACTGTTACTATTAAGTTAGAACATATTTTATTCTCAAAATTTTGGACAACGCTTACTAATTACATTTAAAAATATCTTAGCTTCAGCCGGGTGGTGGTGGCACACACCTTTAATCCCAGCACTCGGGAGGCAGAGCCAGGCAGATCTCTGTGAGTTCGAGGCCAGTCTGGGCTACAGAGTGAGTTCCAGGAAAGGCACAAAGCTACACAGAGAAACCCTGTCTCGAAAAACCAAATATATATATATATATATATCTTAGCTTCATGGTAACAAACAAATGTTCACATGAGAAACTTAATGTGAAATATAATTTTCTAGACTTTTCTCCAATCATAACTTAATTATTTTTAAAATTATTTATTTTCATTGGCTTTCTGGAGGGTTATTAGTTTGACACACTGCAGTTCAATAATAATTTATTTTTGATGTTGAAAATATAATCTTTAAAATTAAAAGATGAAATAGTAGGATCTTGAGCTGAGTAGTAGCTGGTGAAATGCCTGCTGTGCAGGAACAGGGATTTGAATTTGGATCTCCAGAGTGCATGTGTAAGCCAGGTACAGCAGTGAGTGTCTGTAGCCCTAGCACTGGGGAGAGACAGAGACAAGGGGATACCTGGGGTTTTCTACCTAGTCAGTCTCTCCAAATCACTGAGTTCCAGGTTCAGTAAGAGACTCTGATTCAAAACCTAAGGTAGCCGGGCGGTGGTGGCGCACGCCTTTAATCCCAGCACTCGGGAGGCAGAGCCAGGCGGATCTCTGTGAGTTCGAGGCCAGCCTGGGCTACCAAGTGAGTTCCAGGAGAGGCGCAAAGCTACACAGAGAAACCCTGTCTCGAAAAACCAAAAAAAAAAAAAACCTAAGGTAGAGAGCAATGGAGAAACACACAATATCAACCTCTGGCCTTTACATGCACACACACACACACACACACACACACACACACACACACACACACACACACATATACATGCACCAACATATACTTAGGCACATGCCCACATGACCTGTACGTACAGCACACATATACACCCCCGAAACATGAAATAGTGCAATTTGGTACTTATTAGATCATTTAGTGAAACATGATTCTTTTCTGCTTAGTTTATAGAATTTGGAATAACTACTGAATAACAAGAAGTCTCTTAACATCATAGATATAAAGAGTATATAAAATGTAGTTTTTATGCAAATATGTTTCATATTTCTAAGTGACTATGATTACTGCTGGTTTATATAGCAGCCTTCTATGACTGTTCTTATATAATCTATTATTCCAATCTTGTATTGCACCCAATTTTGTTCAAATTTAACTAGGCAAAATCTCCTCTAACAGTATTATTCTACCCACTTATTTCCCGGTAAGTTAGGTATGGGTAGTAATAAGGAAATTTAAATATTTCAATATTACCAGAGGGAAGTAGAAAACTCACTAAAGTGTGTCTATGAATAGCCCACTTACATTTTGCTTTCTTTGTAGCACTTGGCAGTGTGTGATGCCCAGATTGGGACACTACCTGACAGCCTGTAATGGAAACGTTTTACCTAAGAACATAAACTCCAGCTGGGCAGTGGTGGTGCATGCCTTTAAACCCAGCACTCAGGAGGCAAAGACAGGCGAATCTCTGTGAGTTTGAGGCCAGCCTGGTCTACAGAGGGAGTTCCTAGACAGTCAAGGCTACACAGAGAAACCCTGTCTTGAAAAACTAAAAGAAAGAGAGAACATAAGCTCCAACAGTCACTTATAATGCTATACACTTGACAGCTCAAAGAGGCAAATATGCACTGTGGTCAGGTTCATCATAACTAGGAACCAATCTGAAGCTTATGATTTTTATGTTCTTAATTCATTTCATTTTGTGGATTTTTTAATACATTTTAAGCAACATAGTTTATTAACATGATGGCATTTAACTAGTATACAACAAAATGATTGAATTGAGATGAGGAATTATATTAATCATCATTTTTGTTGTACATCTCCAGTATAATTTATGATAAGGTTTTTATTCGTAAGATATTCCAATGTATGTTTTCCTCATTCTACAGTAACACACACAGGAATTATGACTATGATTGGAATTGACACTAAGGTTCTTAGTTATGATTCATATAAGTCAGCAGTATCATTAACACTTATCTTGAATCTATAATGTTGAGTCATATATCCGGTCTACTAAATGTTTCAAATTCACTAAGGTTGAATTTACTGGTGAATCATCAGAGAAATTTCCTAGAACATTGTAGAAGAATAGAATACAGAAAGTGTAGGGCATAGCCACTCATTAACTCTGACATTGACAAGGTGAGTAAGCCCACTGGATAGCAGTGTGATGCCTCAATGTGCAGCATGGTCTTTGCTGTAGTAAATTAAACACCACAAGCATAAGTACACACACCAACCCATGTGGAAGACACTGTTATTGCACTTTGGGGAAGGGGAGATGTAGCTGCTCCTTGAAGGGTTCCATTCACTGTGGAACAGTAAATCTACATACTTACTGTAGGAAGAAGGGAACTAAATCTAAAACAACAGATTCAGTAGTAATTTTCCTTATAACTGACCTCATAGACTCTTCTTAATTATGAATGAATTCTTGGCAGCCTGATTTTCAGAGCACACTCCCAACTTTAAGAATTGTTGGTCATCATTTTAACATCCATGAATGTTCAAGTAATCTTGATACTCTTTGATTAATTATATTCCTTTGAACCTGGAAGAATCAGACAGGAAGTACTTAGAGGCTGAAGTCCATAAATAGGCTGCAGGTCACTCCTTCATTGACACAAGAAACATTCACTAACGGCAAGAACTGGTGATAGGTGCAAGGTGATAGGTGATATGATAATGACAAAAACATAGTCTTCTGCCCCCAAGCCTTAAATCTAGTGAGGTACATATTCCAGAAACACAAAATACACCTTAAGCTGCAGTTTGTGTAAAAGTAATAACCTCAGTGTTGAAGTTCATTGAAAAAAATCTGCTGTTACTTCTTTATTGGTACTAAGAAGCCGTATTATAATGAAAAGGAGTTGTGTATATTCTATTTCACTATGGTTTGAAGAAGAGAAAACACAGAAGTGCCTTGGATATATTATCCACAGATAAAGCCTGTAAACAGTTTTCAAAAGAACAGAAAAACACATCAAGAGAATTCTTGTTTACATTGAGACATGATGAACTCTGAATAGAGCAAATTGAGTTTCTCTAATATTGTTTTTAATTTCAACAAGGTATTGAAATCAAGTGATTGGCTTGGTGATTTGTTCATTCATTGAAGATTAAATTGGGACTTCAGAGTAAGCTCTGAGGGCTGAATTACATTTTTGTTGCCCCATCCATAGGGCTTAGGGTACTGTTCATGCCCTTAAATGTCTTACAATTATGTTGAGAAGACTTCAGTTTCTCTTACTCTGAAATACTTTAGCCTGTCTTTCATGAAAGGTGAAATTGAATGAATAAATCAAAAAAAGTTATGAAGTGTCCAGAACACCCAAGTTAGGGAAATGGTGGAATGGAAGAAATTGGGAACTGGAAGGACTCATGTAAGGGAGGAAGCGCAATGGTTGCAAAATAGTGAAAACCTGAATCAATATTGGTGATACTGGTCTTCATGACATCTTTTAAAATATCGACAACCCAGATACGTGATAAAAGGAGTGATATCTGGTGTTGCAGGGAAACTTCTGAAGATTTTGAATCAAGATTTCCTATGACATTTTGTGTGGTGACTACTCCGAATACAGTACCAGACTTCACTCTGTTATGAAGCCCTTTATTTATACATCCATCCATCCATTCATTTCTAAATAATATTTATTGAGAATGTATTACATACTTAGTATTGATTGTATTAGTCAATTTTCCTATTGTTGTGATAAAATACTCACAAAAGCAACTCAAGTATGGGAATACCTCTGCTCGCAGTTTGAGGATACAGTCCATCACAGGAAGGAAGGCACAGTGGTCAGAGTATGAGGCAACTGGTCACATAGAATCCACAGTCACAACACAGAAAACAATGATGGCTGGCTCTCAGCTTGCCTTCTCCTTTTATTTAATTATACCCCAGCAGCCCATGGGATGTTGCTGTCCACATTTGGGGTGAATCTTCTCACCTCAGTTAATTTGGTCAGGGAATTCTATCACAGATAAGCTCAAAGATTTGTCTCCTATGTGAATCTACCAAGTAAGCCATCAGATCAACCATCACACTGAGGAATATGCTGATATAGCCATTGACCAGTGCCAGCCTGAGCACATGATACAAAGAGGGACCCGCAGTTTTTTATTAGGAGTTCCATCCTGCACTTCCGATGTTATCCTCTTTTTTAAAAGGAATATTTTCCATTCTTACTGTGTATAGTTAAATCAGATGTGACTGAACTTCGGTTTGTCTGGTTACCTGTACTGCATTTCAAAATCCTATAAACGACAAAGCCTGTATCTTCTGGCCTCTAAGGTAGTACAACAACTTGATGTTGCATGATCTCTGCAAGAGATGTGAGAATGTTTTAGGGGTCAATTACATGACTGCAAATCCAAGTATACTTACATAAGAAAGAGTCAAATCTAAAAGAAAGGATGTAAAATTAGAAAAGGCCCCAAAACTTGGAATACTTGTAATAAATTTTATTTTGGTGTTTCACCAAAGAACAAAATATATTCAAATTTTAATGGCAAAGACATTATTATCTGCCTAATATCATAAAATGTTCAATGAGGAAAAAAATCAACTTATAGCCTTTAACAATATTTAGACAAATTTTAAAGTAATTACAAAACTAATTCTTAGGAAACAGGAGTATATAACATTTATACATCTATTATTGATGTTGTTAAAGTAGTTAAGACATTTCAATTTCTCATATAGGTACATAATACTTTCTTCATATGAACTCAAAACATGCTGAGTCCACACTTCATAAAAATAAAATTATTTTCATGCTGTAAGAGAATCATCTCATTAGGAAAGGATCCATATAATTCTTATCCAAAGTGTGAGTAGGATCTTTCCGGTAGAAACTCCAGCAACTATTTGAATCCAGTGTTCCATGTCAGTGTTCATCTTACCATGTGCTTCCCTCATCCTCTCGGTAAAGGAGCTCTTTGAGCTCAGCCGCCTCCTAATGTTATGCACTAATAGTTATAACATTGTAACAGGTTCGAGAATGCTGTGGCCTAAACTACTCTGGTTCAGCGTGGCACTCACACCTGGCCCTGCACCATGCCTGTGGCATCTTAAGAACAGGTTTTAAGACTGGGACCCCATCCTTTATGCTGGTCCCGTGGATAGACTGACCTGGATAAAGTATATGCATGTCAATATTTAAGACATCTTCTTTCCTCTGTAGTTTCCTTTGGATGATTTTGATTTAAGCCAAAGGAAACAAAATGACACACCATGACCCATTTCTGCCATTTCTAAGAGGACAGGCAAGAGTGCCAAAGTAACAGGTAGTTTCCAAATGCACAATGAAACCCAGGAGTGCATTGGCCAAAGAGAATGCGAGATACCTGCTCTTGCTGTATAGCTAACAATGTGCTGCTCTTTTCCAAAATAGAAAGTTATAGAATGTCTTTAATAATAACCAGTAGTCTATGTTTTCATGTCAATGAAAAGTGGAAAAATTTAGATTGTTGCTGTTTATGTGCATTTGACCCAACCTTTTCTACATTTGACATGAAAATACACTTGTGCGGCTTTTGTTGGACGGGTCACAATTTTAGAATAAAACAAGCTATACCATTTACAAATGAATTTGCAAAAGCAAAATCCCAGTGACCATATGGCTGGCAGTTTGCATAAGCTTTCTGTAGAATTCTATTTCAGAAACCTCATAGATACTTAAACAAAAGTTATTTAAGTGGCACTGTGTCTAAGAAAAAAAAAATTCTACAGTGCTGTATCTAATCTTGTGACCCCCACCTCTCCCCAAGCAGATTGGCATTATGTTTAAGTTATTCTTAAATTACAGATCAAGAGAATGCATACAGAAGACTAGGGGTGGGGCACGACTTAGGAGTCTTTGTTTGGATTAGAGAACATGTTTAAAAGCTTTCCTGTGGGATTGGTTTTCAGAAATTGAATGCAACTAGTTCATCTGAAGGCAGTACAGTTGATATAGGTGCTCCAGCAGAGGGAGAGCAGCCAGAGGCTGAACCAGAAGAATCCCTTGAGCCAGAAGCCTGTTTCACAGAAGGTAAGCAAGCAGTGGGGTGGTGTCAGTAGCCTTCTCTTGTCTATCCATCTTTCCTGTGACCTGTCTACATCTCTCTATCTACTGCCTCTAATTACCCATGCCTGTTTATCTACCAACTATTCATTTATTTGCTTTGTTTTAAATCTCAAAACAAGGACAATTTTTCTGACTATAGGCTTAAATGATGTAATTAAATTCTTTTGCTTTTGAAGGTATTGATCACCTCTGCAACATGCTGTTGGTGTATTAGTTTGTTTTATGTTGCTGTGATAAAACCCTCTGACCAAAAGCAAAGTGGAGAGGAAAAGGTTTATTAATTGGGCTTACATTTCTATGTCACAGTCCACCATGAAGGAAGTCAGGACAGGAAGTCAAGACAGAAACCTAGAGGCAAGGACTGAAGCAGAGGCCACGGAGAAATGTGGCTTACAAGTTTGCTTTTCCTGCTTTCTTAAACAACACATGACATTGGCCAAAAGGTGGCTGCACCCCAGTGAACTAGGCACTCTCATGTCAATCATTAATCAAGAAAATGCCCCACAGATTTGCATATACATCAATCAGATGGAGGCATCTTCTCAGTTGAGGTTCTCTCTTCTCAGATGACCTGCGCTTGTGTTGACAAAATAATCCAACCAGCACGCACAATTGACTCTTCTGGCCTTCTAAATTAGCTAACAAGAAAATGCCCCACAGGTTTGCATACACATCAATCAGATGGAGGCATCTTCTCAGTTGAGGTTCTCTCTTCTCAGATGACCTGCGCTTGTGTTGACAAAAGAACCCAACCAGCATGCACAATTGACTCTTCTGGCCTTCTAAATCAGCCAACAAGAGAGATAGCTAAACCAAATGCATAACTGGTAAAGTTGTCAAAAAGAAAAGGAAAAGACAAGTAACTAAAATGAGTAAGGAAATAATCTGACATTTCCTAAGTGGCCATAATATAGTGTACTAATTGATAAATACACATTTCAGTCTGACCTTGAGTAATAGTTTCCTGTATCAATCAAGGTCAAATATTTTTTGTGATTTTTTTTCAACAAAGGTGAAAGGTATAGGAAAGCTGAAATATACTACATACTTTCATATGGGGCAATTGGCATCATCAGAGTACTCTCAAAAGGATTCTCTAAAGAAAGCTAAAATTACATCATTTCTGATGAGGGTCAGTTGTATCATGTAACAACAGTGCTGCATAGGAAACCATATGAAGCCCTCAACTCTAAGTCACTCACCTGAGCTTGACTGCTAAAGTTTGGGCATGATGATCAGTCTTTCCCCTCCCTAATTTTTGTTTGGATTTCTTAATTGGTTCTTATAACTTCATGTTATCAATAGGACTTTTATATAGCTCCTAAGATATAGCCCCAAATCCATTTTATTCCATAAAATTCAGAAATTAAAGTTTATTGATAAGACTTTAATAAGACTTTATGATAATTGTTTTTGTGACTGTAATACTTGTTGAAAAATCACTCTCACTACAATGTACATTCCCCGAGGGTAAGACTGTTTTACATACTATAATTTTATTATGATTTTCCAAGTACAATTCTTTGCATACAATATCTCTTCAATAAATATTTGTTGAAAAGCCTTTTACTGAGTACCTCACAAATTACACATAGATGCTTATTGCATTGTGGTTGATAATGATCAGAAACAAAGCATCCCAATTATTTAATAATAGTGAACATTTATATAAATTCCCATACTCTTATGGAGAGAAACATAATAGCATCTTTCACAAACCTTATGGTTAGATGGAGAAGTTCTATTAAGCTATGAAGAGAACTAATCAAAATTCAAATATATGTAACTTTTATACAGAGTAATAGGATTGACTCATAGGACAAAGGCAAAATAGAAAGATAAGCTGGAGTTTTGCTTTATGTTTTTCTGCATTTGAGTGTTTTATGGTATATTATAATACAGTTACATGCACATAAAAATAAATGATCATCTAAGAAATCATCAAAAGGCTAGACTGTTGGTTTTGATTTCTGTAAGCAGAAGCTATCTTTAAAATAAAGTTGTTTTCTAATGCACTGTGAAGTAATAACGTAGGTGCGTGTCCCACCTTCACAGTGATGCACGAAGAGTAACTGATGGCCTTTCTTTCATACGCTCTCATGTCTTTTAGACTGTGTGAGAAAATTCAAGTGTTGTCAGATAAGCATAGAAGAAGGCAAAGGCAAGCTCTGGTGGAACCTGAGGAAGACATGCTACAAGATCGTGGAGCACAACTGGTTTGAGACCTTCATCGTCTTCATGATCCTGCTCAGCAGCGGTGCTCTGGTAGGTGATGCAGGGCCCGCCCCTTCATCGGTTTCCTTCTCCCTCCGTTGAACCTCACTTTACCCATCTGTAGAACAACTGTTGGGAAAAGTGAAAGATGTGGAGGGAAGGGCCCTCGAGAGCAGTCTACTGCTCTAGCTGGAGGAGCCAGAAAGGACTACACTCAGTCAGCGTGTGCTCCCATAATATCTCAGAAAGAATCTCTCTGACTTTTAGTTACCAGGGGCAGATCCTTTTCTTTATTTTTGATAGTGAATTTTATTCTTGTATTCTCAAGTCCATTACTATACTTTCCAGTGCCTACTGAATTTTAGATGTACAATACAATGTAAACGCAATCGGTTTCTTATTTAGGAAATAGATTTTAGAGTGTCCATGCAGTGCACCTTCTGGCAAAGGGAAAGATCAATGGCACTTCTTCAGAAGGGCTAGCTATGCAGATACGATGTGGGGTTGCCAGCTGAAGTGCAGGCTGCTTAATAGACGCCCCTTGCTGGAGCAAGTCACCTGACTGGTTCACACCAATTCACCTGCCAGCCACAGTGAATGGTGACCAGGCTTACTTAATTTCTAAAAGCATTACAAACCTAGTTTGCATCTGACTTCATGGAATAGGATGAATAATTTAATCAAATATTCACTAATATTACAAAATGGGGTGACCCATTTTCCCATTTTGTGGTGTGACAGGAGTTGCATTTCCTTTACTTTCAATTCACTGAAATTGTTTGTGAGTAAGTTTTCATTAGAAGGATGGCTTCCTTGCTTCTGGGGGACCTTAAGCCCACTTCTGCTTTGACTGAGTCCTGCATCCTGCCATCTGCTCAGTTAGGAGAGTATCTGAGTCCTCACCAGCCTGTGAGTTTCCTGTAAGAGCCCTTGGCTCCCTGGTACACTCAGTCACAGCTCACCAAAACACATGCACTTGCTCACACAGGAGCTGGCTTCTCGGGGCTTCCAGCTTGAGCTCCATTCTAAGCTCCAAAGCCCTTGTGCTGAGCCCCTCATAAATCTAGATGACCTCCTTCTCTAAAAAGAAAGATTTCTTAGTTCCTTGATCCAGGCCACCCCACACTGTTTTGACGTTTCCTCTTAAAAAAGGGTTGTGTTAAAAGGTCCTTTCTTTCTAAAAGGCTCAGGCTCCTTTTTTTCCTAAGAGATACAGAATGATGGCAGCTTCCAAAGACACTCACAACTGCTGGAGAAAGTAAAGAGATCACATTTTCCCCTTTCCCAAGTTCAGGAGACTTCTTGTCACATATTTACACAGTCTTGGGAGGGGGTATCAGTCACTCTGGATTCTGAGATATTTCTAAATGACACCACCTCTTGCTTAAGAAAGGAACATCTGACCTTCTCTTACACATCTTAAACTCTTTGAGGATAGTCTCAATATCCAGATTTTAGAATTGAGTGAGTCTCACAGTAGGCTGCAATGCCCAGGTCCTCTTCACATGTGGAGATAACTGTGAAGCCAGGGCATCGTGATAGCCCTCCTGCCCCTGACTGAAGAAGGCAGCTTTTCATTTCCTTTTTTTTCAATACATAAAGTAGAAATTTTTCTTGACAATATTCAATGTCATGTTATCATTTGTAGGCCTTTGAAGACATATATATCGAGCAGCGAAAGACCATCAAGACCATGCTGGAGTATGCTGACAAGGTTTTCACTTACATCTTCATCCTGGAGATGCTTCTAAAGTGGGTTGCTTATGGTTTCCAAATGTATTTCACCAATGCCTGGTGCTGGCTGGACTTCCTGATTGTTGATGTGAGTACTCTGAAGTTCCCTCTTCTGTTTCTTGGCAGAGGATGATGAGCATTGGTCCTGGCTGTGGCCAGCAGTATGGAGCAGACTCTCTGGGCAACACTGATTTAGTCCAAATACAAGTGCTATTTTCTACTTCTCCAGTGGAATTATACCTAAGACACATTTTGTCAATTTAAGTGCCACCTTATATTTAGTGACTTAGTTTGAAAAATAACATTTGAATCAGTATATTACATTCTAAGCTATGCAAAAGTAAAGTTGTTTTCTAACCTTGTTTTTAATTCTCACATTTTATATAGTTACAGTTGTTAAAATTCTTCACGAGCATCTTCGGCAATAGAATTTGTCCGCAGTTGAGCCTGCTCAGAAATATGTGTCCCATATATAGAATATTAATTGCATGTGAATTTGAAAGTCCAAAACCAATCAATATCACTGGATTTATCTGGTGATTAAAAACAGATTGGCTAACCAATATTTAAAGGATTTATTAACTTGCATTGGTGTTTAAAGGTATTAAGATGGAATGTCAGAATACAGAAGGATTTAAAGTAATTGAATATGGTAAATTATTCCTAAGTGTAACACGCAAAGGGCACATGAAGAACTACATTAAAAATCTTCTTGAAATGCAGAAAGATAATAAACAAAAATTAAAGACACATATGTTTATGTTTGACAATTACAAACAGCAAAATGAGTATGTCAAAGATGCTACCACACTTTCTCTCGTGTGACAGGTCGCATAAGACACCATTCTTTTCACTTTTTTGTGTGTAATTGTGACAGATCAGTAGTTTGATGACAGCATAGCTAAAATTTTATATATGTAAACAAGGATAAGTTATTATATCCATGTTAACTAAATATAAAGAAACCCAAAAAGAAAGTTAATTGTCTCGCTGCCTGAACTAACATTGTCTAATATACATCATCTAATATGAACTCACATTGTCTACTATACTCTGAAATCTACTATTTTAGATTTGTGAATACTCTTATGATTGTACGTTAAACTGGTTGATACTTTGTTTAAAATCAAATATTCTTTCTAATTATCTGTTTTCTTATTGAGCTATAAGTAGAAATGTCACGTCTCTGGTCCTAAGGGAGCTTAAGGTTGACCAGTAAGGACGAATGCACAGTTTCCCTTGAGGAAAGGTTTCTTGAGAGTAGAGTAAACCAGTGTTTGAGTGAAAAGAATGCCAGTAACTCTGGAAGAGAAAGGGACACTGACTTGTGCCAACCCTGAATGGTAGTGCTTGAGGGTGGGCAGAGGTCGGGGAGTAGGAGGCAAAGGTCTGTAAGTGGAAGACAAATTCAGAAAGACAAGTGCTGGGGGAACCCATGATACCATCCAAAGAAATGTGAACTTAGGGGTTTAGTGGACAGGAAGATTCTGAAGAATATCTTCCAACAAACAAAACCGCAGAAGACTAAAGATGTCGATGGTGATTCAGGAAGACCCAGATGTGCCTCCTATTCAAGTGCGGCTAAACAGCTTACTGAAAGTGGTATGGCTTACCACTTCAGTTCTCTGATAGTTCTGGCCCAGCTCAGAACATATTTCATTTGTCTAACTGTTCTTTTGTCCATTAATGTACGCCTCTCCCTCGGATTCTGTCTCCAGAGAATGTAAAGCACTCTAGATCCTCCTGGCTTGCATGTGGAAAGCCTTCACATGATAATTTTAATTTTTGTTTATTATCTTTTTGCATTTCAAGAAGATTACTCACTTTATTCCTCAGTCATCTACAAAGAGAAGACTTACAAAGCCCTGAACTTGATGAATTTCATACCTCATTTCCCTCTTACATTTGAAGACTTTGCTTTCAGATTACACATACAAAATTAGTATAAACAAACGAAGGTTTTGTCAAACAAATTCTGTTTACTCCCGTCATTTTTCTTAGAAAACATTTTTCAAATACTTATACTTATTATTGCAATACTTTTAAAAACTATATTATGTATTTGTTTCTGCTTATCTGATTTTCAAATTTTGGTGTGCTTTAGAATGAGATAACTTTTTTTCTGAGTTCATATAATAGTTATAACTCTCAAAGGTAACTGGGTATTTTAGTGATGACTATGACAGTTTTTTTTTCCCAACTGGAATTTTTAGAATTTTTACCAATAACACCAGTAATCTGTGTAAATGACTAAAGAAAATAACAACCTTAAAATTCTGTAGTTATACTAAAATCTCAACTTTTCTTTATTTTCACTCATTAATTTTACTTGCTTTAACTAGTGATAAGTCCCAAAATGTGATTTATGAATCAGCACTGTTGCTTTTACCAGAGAACTTAGAAAAATATAAATTCTCAGGCCTTTTCCCGAATGTACTAAATCAAACTCCACTAGCTCTCAATGTTTTTTTTTAAAACTGAAATTAGACTTTTTTTTCCATACAAATTTTGATCACAGCTTCCCATACCCCAACTGCTCCCAGATTCTCCCGTCCACCCCGGCCCCCAGATCCATATCCTTTCTTTCTTTTATTAGAAAACAGGCATCTAAAAAAAGGCTGGGAAGACAAAACAAACAGAGAATAACATTTCTGTTATAGCACTTCGTGATCTTAACCAGTTCTGTGTGGTGTGGACACTCGCCCAAGTTTGAGAACTACTTGCTTCTTTGTTGCGTAGAGCAAGGTTGAGGGATGTGTAGACACTTTTATCTATAACTTTTAATCAGTTGTCTGCTCTTTTTTTTGTATAGGTATCATTGGTTAGCTTAACTGCAAATGCCTTGGGTTATTCAGAACTTGGTGCCATCAAATCCCTCAGAACGTTAAGAGCTCTAAGGCCTCTCAGAGCCTTATCCCGATTTGAAGGAATGAGGGTAAGACCAAACATCTTAGAATCTGCTGTGATTATAATTAAGAACAACCTGAAACTTTCTACAGTAGGAAGGGCAAATCCATCTTCATGTTCACATAACCAACCAATCAGCAATATGAATTCAGTGTCCCTAATGCATATCATCATTTGACTCAACAGAACACAATGCTCAATGCTCTTAATTCCCTTCATTTTCCTTAGGGAATTCTTGATCATATCTCATAGATTGCTGATCTGTACCAAGATTACCTATCATCCCTCTATTTCGAAATGTTCAGGACCTCTTACTTGATGTCATTTAAAACTAACCAATCATGACTCATTGTTTCTTCACTCCACTTGTATTATGTACTTGGTGCCTGTTGAAGTCTGAATCTGGCCTTTTGGTTTTTAAGCACAGACAGAGATATCTAAAAAGTAGGTCAGCTGTAGAAATCTAGTACTCCCCTAGAAAGGCAGTACAAAAGACCAGGAGGAATTCAAGCTGACATTTGTTACCCCTGGGACAAAAGCCCAAGAACACATATCATCACCACATAGAAAATAATTGTACCCTGTCTCCATGGTATTGAGTATTAAAAAAATTGTAGAAATGGATGCTTTTTGTGATACTTAAAAGTTTCCTGTAGGGCTGGAGAGATGGCTCAGCATTTAAAAGCACTGGCTGTTCTTCCTGAGGTCCTGAGTTCAATTTCCAGCAACCACATGGTGGTTCACAACCTTCTTTAATGAGATCTATTACCCCATTCTGATTTGCAGGCATACTTGCAGACAGAATACTGTATACATAATAAATAAACATTTAAAAAAAAGTTTCCTGCAATCCTAGCACTCAAATATTTGAGGCAATAGGATTGCCAGCCTACATAGTCAGTTCCAAGCCAGGCTGAACTACAAAGTGACACCCTGTCTCAAAAACTCTGTACAAGACAAGACAAAAACAAAAACAGAAATGAAAATAGTTCCTCAGACTTCATCAGAGTATTATAAGCACAACCATAGAGGAATGTTATGAATGTATGTAGGCATGTTTGTGCATGCTTTTCTATATACAGAAAGAAATGATTGGTTGGCTGTTGGATTTTTTTTTCTTTAGCAATTAAATAAAGCCATGCTTTTGCAGTAGTAAGCTTAATAAACAAAGGATGCTAAATCGTTTGTACTATAATATGTTTCATTTTCTGTGTCAAATTCATCTTTCATATACTCCCACTTCCTCTTTCTTGGCCTTGGGACCAAATCCCAGGTCTTGTGTATGATAAGCAGGTGCTCTGTATCACACTATACCCTCAAATGTTCTCCTTTGTTCTCAATTTAGTATTGCGCACTTAGTATTGTTCATATAATGATTTTATAAATTTATGCCATTATTTGTTGTCTTAATTACTTGTTGTTTTTAATTATCTTCATTCCTTGTTGAAATCTCCTCCTACATATACTTGCTTAGCTGCTAAGAAAGTATTCCACAATGTAAAATTCATTTCATATTCTTCTGAAATTTAGAATTTAAAAAGTCTTAGATCAAGCTATTGGATATTCCTACGTAACGTTCAACTTTGACGAGTGACATCTTTTTTCTATAATTTGACTATTGTTTTCTTTGTTATACAAAGTATTATATTTTATATTATGTGTATGGATATTTGCCTGCTTATATATGTGTGCACCACATGTATGTAATGTTGTCCTTAGAAGCTAGAACAAGGTGTCTGAATCTCTGTAGCGAGTTACACACAGTTCTGAGCCTCCATGTTGATGATGGGAACCAAACCTAGATCCTCTTATCTAGGAGTCATCTCTCCAGACCATTATTCTCTCTTTTCTTTTTTAAGATGCACTTATGTATTTTCTCTGTATGTTTGTATGCCAGTGTATGTGTGTGTGCAACACAGGCATTCAGATGCCCTTGAGTCTAGAAAAAGATGTTAGATCCCTGAAACTGCAGTTACAGGAGAATGTTAGCCACCTGACATGGGTGCTGAGAACCCAGTCTAGGCATTGTCGAAGAGCAACAGTGCTCACAACAGTTGAGCCATTTCCCAAGCCGAAATCATTATTTTCTAATAATATTCGAAAGTCAGTGAACATAAATACTTGTCTTTTCATGGGTTTCTTCCCTCTCCTCCTGTGCCAGGTTGTTGTAAATGCTCTTCTGGGTGCCATCCCATCCATTATGAATGTACTTCTGGTCTGCCTGATTTTTTGGCTAATATTCAGTATCATGGGTGTGAATCTCTTTGCTGGCAAGTTCTATCATTGCATCAACTATACCACTGGGGAAATGTTTGACGTGAGTGTGGTCAACAACTTCAGTGAGTGCCAAGCGCTCATAGAGAACAACCAGACAGCCAGGTGGAAGAATGTGAAAGTCAACTTTGATAATGTGGGACTTGGATATCTTTCTCTGCTTCAAGTAGTAAGTGACCACCTGATAATTGCTGGCAATGTGTCTAAAGTTTTTTCCTCCACAATTAAATGTTCCCTCACTGCTGTTAGAGTGACTGTCCTCAAAGAGAAGAAAGATAACACGTGTTTACTGCCACCTGCACACTGTTTGTGGTAATGTTAATTAGTAAGCCTTGTGACAAACACTGAAGGGATCCTTCAAAAAAGAACTATCATATGACCTGGTAATTCCAGTCCTGGGCATGTGTCCAAAGGAAATGCAAGCTCAGTGTGTGAAAACATGTCTACATTCTCATATCTTTCACATACATACTGATTGCCATTGCAGCAACATTATCCACGATAGCCTTCTAAGTCAATCAGTGGATGAATGTCTAAATAAAATGGTATATGCACACATGGAATAAGATTCAACCCTGTTTCATGCTGATACTCTGTTCCTGAATGCTTTCCTAGGTTCCTTCTAATAATCACATCAGAGTCAAAGGCTGTTGAGGTGACTTTTATGATAGTATGATTTTACGATCATATGATCGTATGTTGAAATGACTTTTGTGACGGTGGATCAGGATATATGTGTTAAATATGCATAAGAAGATTTTACAAAGCATTGCATCTATTACCAAATACTGTCTACAGAATTTGAATAATAACCATAAACCGTGTTATACAAATGTATTTGAATGAATCTTGGTTACCGTCTTACACATTTTTTTAAATCGTTTGTCTTTGTAGAGCTCTACATGTTAATACACATATACACTGTGTAGTGTACACTCAAATGAAGCCCATCTTTCACCAAACATTTGCCATTTTTTTGTGGTGAAAATATCTAGAATACTGTCTCCCAGCATTTTAGTCTCATCTTTTGTTAGTACTTCTACCCTGATGATTTATTTTCTAAACTGTAATCAAGAAAAAAAGTAAGTATTTTGACTGTTTTACAGGCCACATTTAAAGGATGGATGGACATCATGTATGCAGCTGTTGACTCAAGAAATGTAAGTCTATTGAGGCCAGAAATGAATATATCCATATTATTGTAAATTGTCAATGGCAAACAACAACAGAAAAAAATGGTATAGTTATAGGTCAATTTAACAGAACACAACTATTTTACCAAAATAAAGTACTTACATTATTTCTTTTTAAAAAAATATTGGTTTGGGATCCTAGTCTTTAGTTACAGAGTTAAAATTTCTTAACATGCTAAAGATCTAATAGTCCCCTTAAAAATAATTAGTAGCCCAAAAATTGAAGATGGCCAGTTTTTCAACTTTTAATTAAAAAGTTTTTCTCAAGTCACTGTAAATATTTTATAAGATTTATTTTATTTTACGTGTGTCAGTGTTTTTGGCCTACTTGTACGTCTGTGCATCACACATGTGCCTGGTGCCCACAGAGCCCAGAAGAGGGCATTAGATCCCGTGAAGCTGGAGTAACAGACAATTGTGAACCACCATGTGAGTGCTGGGAATTGAGCTCTGCTCCACTGGAAGAGCAACAAATACTTGTAACTGCTGAACCATCCCTCCAGCCCCTCACTGTGATTTCTTCTTTTGCTTTTCTCTCTTTTTTTTCTTTGTCTTTTCTAATAAGCTTGGGCCCTGATGCTTAAATTTTTATGAACTGTATTTTTGAAATGAGACATTTTATTTTTGTGAACAGAAATCCTCCTCAGGGCGATTTTCTTCATGTGCCATACGTTTCCTCCAGCATCTGATCTTCTGTGGGGTCGGATATGACTAATAATGACAAATGGTAGGGAACACAGGAAACACAACAAACAAGCCAAAACTTACTAGTGTCTCCTGACAGGAGGTAGAAGTGTGTGAGAGAAGGCAGAGATTTGCAAAATCAACCTTACAAATGCAGTGGAGTTTTGTGCTTTAGTTTTTATTAATTTCATACAGTTGATCAAGGAAGAAATTGACATTTTGGAAAGAGATTGATTTCTAGTTTACTAGAGTCCCCAGATTACTCTCAAAATGTTATTTCTCTGTACCAGCAATTAGCTCTGTATTAAAAATCCCTGAGTTGTTTTTACCAACCTCATAAAAACACACAGAAGAGAGAATTGGATAGAAGACCATCGGAGGCAGAAAATGCTAAAAAGCCCTGCAATGCATCAGCAATCCCAGCTATGAGAGTTTTCTGAATCATGATTGAAAATGTTTTACTTGTCACTCAGAATACCAAGGGCAACCTCATGTTATCCCGCTTAATTTTGCACAGTAGCCTTGTGTGCTTGGTGCTAACTCTTTGCATTATTGAAGCAGAGAGGCTCAACACACACAATACAGAACGTTTTTTGAACTCTGCCCAGAAACTGTGTTTCTACAGGAGCTCTCTCTACCTCTTTGATTAGTTCATCCAGAGCTATTTCTACCTTAGCAACAGTGCCTACATGGCACACAGCTTACCATGCATCTCTATTAGTAACCTAGCAGAAGCTGTCTGCTACCTAAGCACTCACACTCATGCATACGGCAGAAGACAAAAGCCAACTGGCCACTGAGACAATGAGGAAGACTTTCTGGCTTTTTCTTTTACTTTCATTTTTTATTTAATGTATTTATTTGAGACAGGCTCTCACTGTGTAGTCCTGGCTGACCTGGAACTCTCTATGTAGACCAGGCTAGCCAGGAACTCACAGAGATCCACCTGCCTCTGCCTCTTGAGTGATGGAATTAAAGGTTGTGCCACCATGCCAGGTTCTGCCTTTTACTTTCATTAGACACACACACACACACACACACACACACACACACACACACATACACACACACACACACACACCACTAGATAAATAGAATAAAATAGTTGGGTATTAAGATATTATTTGCCTTTTGCAACATATTCTTGAGAAATTTTTACTCCTGTGCAAGTGTATAGGACAGTTAGTCTATGTATAGACGTGAACAAAAGATTTTGAAATGACAAGAACTGGAATCAACTGAAAAATAATAGCGACAAGTAAGTATTATATAGTGGTAGAAATGAATGTGAATGCATTAAGACACAGAAACTGCATATGCATCACAATTGTGTTTATTGGCTCAAAACTGGTACAAAATAAACCTACTGTTAAGAATATCAAGGTATCAATTCTCAAAAATGGAGGCTAATGTTGCTACCAGCGATGGTAGCATCTACGTTGTGGAAGAATAAACCCACCAGGATTTCTGAAGTACCTGAGTTGTGTTTTTCTTATAAAAGGGGGTATTTCATTTAAGCTTATATGTGAGAAACTTTAGTATATTGCATTTAATTTTATGAAATTTGAAAATATATTACAATGTTATACATACATATACATATAGATAAGTCAAATGATCGGTGAACAATACCTAGTTTTACAATCATTTTGATTTCTACTTTATCATGTTTCACTTCAAAATGTTTGTTACGACCCTTAAAATTGATGTCACAACATGATAAGCTACAGCTTACATTCTTTATCACTGATAACTGACTCACTGAGTTATTAGAAGTGTACTGTGAGACTTGACCTTTTTATTACAGCAGAAGCTTTTTTATCACTCATTTTTCTCCAAGGTCTGGACAAGCAGAGGACTGTTATAATACAGACTGCACCTACTGGAGAGAGCGGGTCACTCTACCCACTATCAGGAAGAACAAACTCTGCCAACCTACTCATACGTACATGCACAATGTGGTTTCTAGCCTACTTGGGAAGTGTGTACTATTAAACTTTCCATGACTATCCATCACTATTGCTTGATCTTGGCCTTAAGCGCTTTTCTACATGTTAACATATTTAACTTTCACAAGCTACTGTAAAAGGTATAGGTTCGAGTGTTTCCATTTCACAGGTGAGAAGACTAGGCAGAGAAAGTAAATATTAGCTATTTTAAAATAGCTAAAATAGCATAATGGGACTCTGACTTCTCTACTGTGGGGTGAGGCAACTCTATCTACATGCCATGTTGCGATCTTTGCTTATTAAGGAGAAGAATGTTCACAGTCTAAGGGTTTATTTGGTGAGACTATTATAATTATTTAAGCTTCTGCTTGAATGTCTTCATTTTCTCAAGTCAGCGAGTAGTCTTTCAGGATTCAATAGGCACATTAGACCTGGTTGCTCCTGAAATCTGTTCAATATTTGTCTGTTTCATATTTAGAGATTTGAAAATTCAATGATGTACTCTTTATGAAATTATTCAATCTAATGGTTACCATTCTTCATATTTTAGGTAGAATTGCAACCCAAATATGAAGACAATCTCTACATGTACCTTTACTTCGTCATCTTCATTATTTTCGGCTCATTCTTCACACTGAATCTTTTCATTGGTGTCATCATAGACAACTTCAACCAACAGAAAAAGAAGATAAGTATATCTATGCGCTCTCTGCACTGGGAGGCTTGAGCTGAGCCCATCACACTGCTGCCATTGTGCGGCAAAATGTGTTTGCCAAGGACAACAAGGCAAACTTCAGAAAGTCTTTTGTGATTTAATGAGTTGTAAGAGATTAGGTCAGCCAGGCATGGTGGTGTAAATGCCTTTAATCCCAGCACTTGGGAGGCAAAGGCAAGCAGATCTCTGTGAGTTGGAGGCCAGCCTGGTCTGCAGTGAGTTTCAGGACAACCAGGGGTATGCAGAGAAGCCATGCCTTGAAAATGAAAATTAAAAAAAAAAAGAGTGTAGGTCATTTATAGTTTAGATTCAACACTTTGAAGGCTCCCATGAGTGAATGTGCCTGCTATGACATAACTAACATGTTGACTGAGTGTTGATCTTCACGAATGATCATTAGCAGCATTAGGAGTGCCGACTTTCTCACAGGCACTCACATAGATTTTCCAGCTAGTAAAGAACATGGTTTTAACAATGTTTTGTTTTTCTTTCTTTACTTTGGAGGTCAAGACATCTTTATGACAGAAGAACAGAAGAAATACTACAATGCAATGAAGAAGCTGGGATCCAAGAAACCTCAAAAACCCATACCTCGACCTGCTGTAAGAACAGAATTCTTTCTTATCAGTGAGAGCTGTGGTTTCTGTCATTTTCTTTTTTCTTTCTTTCTTTTTTTTTTTTTTTTTTTTTTTTTTTTGGTTTTTCAAGACAGAGATCCACCTGCCTCAGCATCCCGAGTGCTGGGATTAAAGGCATGCGCCACCACCGCCCAGCTGGTATCTGTCATTTTCACAGCCAAAATTCCAGAAAGGAATAGCTTTCTGAATTTGTAACCCCATATTTATATTCTGACTTGATAGCCTAAATATGTGCCATATATCTGCATATGTCAAAATCATTATTTTTTTTTTTTTTGGTTTTTCGAGACAGGGTTTCTCTGTGTAGCTTTGTGCCTTTCCTGGATCTCGCTCTGTAGACCAGGCTGGCCTTGAACTCATAAACATCCGCCTGGCTCTGCCTCCCGAGTGCTGGGATTAAAGGCGTGCGCCACCACCACCCAACAAAATTATTTAATATATAATGTTATATACAACCATATAAAACACATGTAAATGCTTTTTTAGTCTAAAATGATGGTAGATCACAAAGAATTAGAGACATTAAGATATTCTTATAATGTAGAGAAGATATTACAAGTGTTTACATATGTCATGTGGACACAATGGATGCCCTCTGACTGCCTTACATTTTGATTGGCACAGCTTAGGTAGTCTCACTGCCTGCTCAGCTCGTGAGGTTGAATGAAATCGTGAATGAATCACAGCTACGGGTTTTTTTCTTCTGATTTTAAATATCATGAATATTTGTATTTTCCCCAACTCCCCTGCCCTGAAGTGGGATCATGCCATGCCTTTTATGATTTTTATAGCTTTTCCAGTTGTCCGTTTTTCTTTTCTTTTCTTTCTTTCTTTTTTCTTATAGAAGAGTTTGTTCAGGGCTTACCGTTTCAGAGGGTGAGAGTTTGTGACTGTCATAACAGAGAGCAGGCGGGCAGAGTACTCCATGGTGCTGGAGTAGTAATGGAGTAACTGGGAGCTAACACATTAATCAACAAGTATGAGGCAGAGAGAACTAACTCAGAATGATGCTAATATTTTGAAACCTCAAAGCCCACCCCTAGTGACATACCTCTTCTAACAAGGCCACATCTCTTTTTTTTTTTTTTTTTTTTTTTTTTTTTTTTTTTTTTTTTGTTTTTGTTTTTCGAGACAGGGTTTCTCTGTGCAGCTTTGCGCCTTTTCCTGGAACTCGCTTGGTAGCCCAGGCTGGCCTCGAACTCACAGAGATCCGCCTGGCTCTGCCTCCCGAGTGCTGGGATTAAAGGCGTGCGCCACCACCGCCCGGCACAAGGCCACATCTCTTAATCCTTTTCAAACAGTTCCATCAGCTGAGGACCAAGTATTCAAATATATGAGCCTATGGGAGCCATTCTCATTCAAACCACCACAAGATATTTTGTCTTGATTTTTACATCTTTATGCCTTCTCTATTCTTTTTTCCTTCTGTATGGGAAGATTATTTATGTTAAAGAGATGATGGAAGCATTATGGCATGTCTGGTGAAGGATGTAAAATTAAGCACTTTCTAAACAGGGAAGCTACATTCTACAGCAACCAATTACAACACTGTAGTTTTTATGGGTGCCTAAAATGCAGTTGTCCAATTACTGCCAGTTCTTTTTGGAGATTGTTGAGGGGGTCCCTCAGTTCTTCCATCATTTCTGAAGGAATACATCAGATATTAATTCTTGGTGCTCTCCCAACTCAGTACCCACAGTTTAAGACCAATTAGTAATCTCCAAGATTCTTGATTTTATGAATCCATTGACAACAATAAATAACTAGGTTCAATCAAGTTTTCAGTATGAGAATCTGCCAATAGCTCAGAGGCAGTGGGTCACTACATTAGACAAAAGAAAAGTAAAACTTGAGCCCAATCTTTAAGAAATAATACAGTTTGAATAGTTGGAAGCTAGTAGAAAGATAGTCCCTATATGATAAAATATATACTCTGAAGCCTTAGAAATAAGCATTTTAGGAAGAAGAGGAGTCCATTTGAATTCCTAAGTGGTAGGCTCAAGGTTTGAAACATAATCCCCAGTTAACAATGTAAATAGAATCTTCTTGTAAGAAGAGCAGAGTCCCATGAAGAAAATGAAGGTTACTGAAGAGCACTGAACCTGGAAGGGAATGCTAAGGCAGAGACAGCACAGGGCTAATCCAGATGTTGTCAAAGTATCACGTCAACAAAATGCACACCCCACAGAAGGCGTAGAAGCGTTCAGCTGTGGATGCTGATAAATGAAAGAGAGCTGACTAACCAGGGAAGCCTTTTTGAAATGATTCATTACTGAGGAGCCAAGAAGAATGAAGAAGTTTCAATAAGCAGCATGGCTGAGACCGAGCCTTGTATAGGTGAAAGCCCTGACAGGAAAGCCACATGGAGGGCAGAGAATGGAAGTCCAGCTGAGTCCTGTGGGTGTAAAAAAGTGGGTCACCATTTATAGGAATTATCTCCACCCTAAGACCACTTGAAAGTCATTAAAGTGATCAAGTCATCTGGGGTTTTATGATGATCACTCAACAAGTTTGACAAAGATGGAGGTATGTGCACTACAGACAAAGTTTGGAGCTACTTTGGAGGTCATAGGTAGCCAACACCAGAGGGAAAGTGGGTGGATTTGGGGACTGCTGCTGATGTAGAACTAAGAGGGGTCTACTCATCTAATACAGAAACTAAAAGTCAAGAACAGGAGTGATGAACTGTCACTGTGCCAATGAGAGGCTCGGAGATGCAACATAGGATGTATGAGGTGAGAATCAGGGGCGTCAGTTTGTAGAATTTTGCAGCCAAAAATGAATAGAGATGAGCAAAGAAGACTTAGATGTAGAACAAAGGTTTCCTAGGATTAAGAGATTAAGTTTGAAACATAGTGAAAGACATTCTGGAAAGGAGAGAATTGCAGAATAAATTGCATAGGATGGGAGCAAAGAATGGACAGTTCAGGTTAGAGAAGAAAAGGAATGGAGTCCTTTAAAAGGTGTTGAGTGACACAAGAAAAGAACATGGGAACTCAGAAAGTATGCAATGAATAAAGTTGTTGAAGAATATCTTCTTCCCCCAACAACAAAAAAGGAAGAGAAGTAAAAATGTTAGATAAAAGAATGTTAAAGAGGGACAGAGGATTGGTAATTAGTGCTTAGGACCTAGATTAATTTACAAAACACATGCTTTGGTAAGCCAAGCCTTCAGGGCTATGCAGTTTCTTGCAGTACACCCAGTGCCCTAAGACTTAAATTGGCAGGGACTCAGAACTGATATTGTACATGAGGCATCCCATTAAGATGCTATATGGGCAAGAAATCTGACGGAGCTTTGTCTAGTCATGATGACAAAATTAAGACCAATTGTTGCTTCTAAGAGAGTCTGGATTAACTAACCCCTGGAGGCGGTGTCTGTGGGGAATGTGGTGTCACTTTGTCCCAAGGATGCTCTAAAGCAGAGGAAGAAAGAATAAACTAAACAAACCAAATAAGAGCCAGCCATTTGCAATGCAATGCCACAAATTTCATGGTAGGTGAAAGAACAAAGTCTTCTGAGAGTACAAGACATCTGGACCTTAAGCAATGTCATTCACCAGACAGATAAGGGGTGGCCCTTATTTCAGAGAAGAGATAGATGAGCAAGCTAAAATGACAGGATGGAATTTGTGTGGTGGACTGAGTGGTGGAGATAAAGAAAATACAGAAAGCTTGCAAAGACAAACTACAATGAGTAGAAACTAAGATAGGAAGTTGGGGTTGGAAGTAGTCAGTGAATGGAGGCCTGGAAGGAAAGAACCGTATGAAGAAGTAGAGGTTCAGCCCAGACAGCTAAAGGTGTATTCAGAGAAAAGAACCAAACAGAACAGTTGCCATTTGGTGTCCAAAAAATTGCTACTAAAAGTGATGAAGACTTGCATTGGGGAGTGGGCCGAACACTGTGATGGAGAGTACAGACCAGCAAGTGTCAAGTTCTGGGACAACAAGCTATTGATGTGTAGGCAGCAGGGCACCAAGTCATTCTAACTGAGAAGATATAATTCACAAAAGTCAGAACAAGGCCTGAGCTGCAGTGTCTCAGAATTCCTAAGCAGATACAGGCAATATGGACAATAACAGTGTCTCTTGATGACAACTGTTTCCACATGAGGACTTACTTTCACAAGCAAGACAAAAAGCCAGTCACTTCTTGAAAATAATGTTCAAGCCAGGAATGGTAGTACATGTCTTAAATCTCAGCACTCAGGAGAGAGAAGCAGGAGGATCTCCCTAAATTTAAGGTGAGGATGGTCTACACAGTGAGTTCCAAGCTCCCTAAATTTAAGGTGAGGCTGGTCTACACAGTGAGTTCCAAGACAGCTAGAGCTACATAGTGAGACTCTGTTTAGTAAAAAGAAAGAAAAGGGAAATGAAGTTCAGATCAACTGACACAAAGTTGACTAAGTTCTGAACTTGTTTTTAACAGTTTTTTGTTTTTTACAAGAGTCACTCTGTGTATTACCTGTGGAAAGGGAATAAGAATACCTTTTATGTTACTACAAAAAAGTTATCATAGCCAAGAAATTAACCTTAATAGACTATCACAAAATATAGAACTTGATTCCATTATATCAGATTTCCCACTAAAATACTTTTTCTTCAACTGTAATTTAAAGTTTATCTATTATAAACTTGACAATGGAAGATAACAAAGCTTTTCGGAGAGAACAGAGTTGAAGGAGGCTGGGGAGAAAGCAAGAGGAAATCCAGGACAAGTGTTTATTCACTCATTAAAGGTGGTGTTAATATCCATCTCCTAGCACATGGAGCAAAAATGTTTATTACAGCTACAAATACTTACTGACTGTCCATCACAATTACATACGGATGCTTGGGGTACTGAGACCATCAGCTGTTCTTAATATTCTTTTTTTTTTTTTTTTTGGTTTTTTTGAGACAGGGTTTCTCTGTGTAGCTTTGCGCCTGGGCCTCACTTTGTAGACCAGGCTGGCCTCGAACTCACAGAGATCCGCCTGGTTCTGCCTCCCGAGTGCTGGGATTAAAGGCGTGTGCCACCACCGCCCGAATATTCTTTTTTATAAAGTTCATAGTATGAATAGTATTCATGAAGCAAATTCATTTGAGAAAAGTTGGCTATTCCAATACATAAAACTTGACAACAGATAACACAAGAATGGTATATTTTCACAGAAGATAAGTTTTCATATTACTAAGTTGAAATCAGGTAAGTTGAATGAGTTTTTTTGTTTTGTTTTGGTTTTGGTTTTTGAGATGGGGTTTCTCTGTGAAACAGTCCTGGCTGTCCTGGAACTCACTATGTAGGCCAGGCTGACCTTGAACTCACAGAGATCCTCCTGCCTCTGCCTCCTGAGTTCTGGGATTAAAGATGTGTGCTACCATTCACCACCCAGCAAATGAGCTCTTTTTCAAGTGTTGGTGAGTGTATTTGTCTGTGTTGTTTGTTCCAGAACAAATTTCAAGGGATGGTCTTCGATTTTGTAACCAAACAAGTCTTTGACATCAGCATCATGATCCTCATCTGCCTCAACATGGTCACCATGATGGTGGAAACTGACGACCAGAGTCAGGAGATGACCAACATACTGTACTGGATCAACCTGGTGTTCATTGTCCTGTTCACTGGCGAGTGTGTGCTTAAGCTCATCTCCCTCCGCTATTACTATTTCACCATTGGATGGAATATTTTTGATTTTGTGGTGGTCATTCTCTCCATTGTAGGTAAGAAGGGGAGCCTTTACCTTCTGCGCTAATAAGGCCAGGTGTGGGGCAAATGCCGTATTTGAGAGGTTGGAGCAAATATAAAATTCCAGGGTAGTCCGGGCTGCGTAGTGAAATCCTGTCTCAAAGCACAAACGAAAAGACAGAAACAAAGTGAAAGAGTATTTGATAGTGATAGTCTATCATTAAAAATGCTAGAGGTATTTCTTATCATTTCAAAATTTTAGAGAAGGCATGATCGTCCATTCCTTTTGGTTTTTCGTATTTGTTATTTCATCTGTTCATGAAAATTATGCACTTTTTTCTTTTTACTATCTTGCCTCAATTTAAAAGCCAACAACTGCAATTTAGATTGTCTCCTTACTCAGTCACATTCTCATAAATAACTACTGCTTTGAATAAACATCTAACACTCACTTATGCATAAATCCTTAAAAGTAGTCAGATAATGCATAGATATGACCTCTTTGATAATTGGAGTGGTATATATGTGCATTTGTATACATTGACACACATAGGCTTCATGATTTCCTGGAGTTCAGATAGCTCCCTATATAGTTCACAATATTCCTTTTTACAAGTAGACATTATAGGCTGGGCGGTGGTGGTGCATGCCTTTAATCCCAGCACTCGGGAGGCAGAGGCAGGCGGATCTCTGTGAGTTTGAGGCCAGCCTGGTCTACAAAGTGAGTTCCAGGAAAGGCTCAAAACTACACAGAGAAACCCTGTCTTGAAAAACAAAACAAAAAAACAAAAACAAGTAGACATTACATTCAGAAATCCAAACTATATTCATTATCATCATAATTTATTGTTTACTCATATAAAGGATATGAAATAAGAAGCTAAAATCAAATATAATAGGATTTAAGGAGAGGAGAGGCTCTTATTTTATTATTACTATTATTATTATTATTTACTGATATTGAAATGAAACCTCAGGACCCTAAACATGTGAGGAAAATTATCTACCAGTTACTATGAAAGTGAGATCCCAGTTACTAGGTTGGGCCTATTAGAGGAATAGGAATATAGATACTAAGAGGGAAAAAATACGTCCAGGAGTACCTCATGTTTTTGCAGTTTTCAGATAATGCATTCTGTGCAAACAGAAGGTCATGACAGCTCCACATTTGGCAAGTCAGTCTGCACCAGTTTTTCAACAGTTTAGATGATGATAGCATTTTTTTAGCAAGAGGTATTTTTAATTAAGATCCACAGGTTTTTTTATGGACACAATGCCATTTTATATTTAAACTGAAGTATATTGTAATTATAAACATTTATCTGCACCAAGAAAATAACCAGAAGATTCATGTAATTTGTTTTCTTAAAAAAATATATGTGGAGGGCAGGAGAGATGGCTCAGAGATTAAGAACATTAGTTGCTTTTCCAGAGGTTCTGAGTTCAATTCCCAGAAATCACATGGTGGCTCAGAATCATCTACAGTGAGATCTGGTGCCCTCTTCTGGCATGTATGCATGCAGGCAGGCAGGCAGAACACTGTGTACATAATAAATAAATAAATCTTTTTTTAAAATGTGTGTGTGTATTTGTGTGCACACACATGGTTATGGGTATTTTGCCTGCATAAATGTCTGTGTACCACGTGCATGCAGGGCTCATGGAGGTTAGAAGAGAGCACTGGATCCCCTGGAACTATAGTTAGAGACAGTTGTGAGCTGCCTTTGTGTGTTGGGAGCAGAAACTCAGTCCTCTGGAAGAGCTACAAGTGCTCTTAAGCCCTGAGCCATCTTAGCTCTCCCGTCCTATAATTGGTTTTCTTGTGTATGACTTTATTCCGGTTATCTGAAACCAGAGTGCTAAGACTAAGAGGAACATGTGCATCAAGAGTTGGATCTCTTACCAACACTGTACCACTGTGCCAGAGTTCTGTGAGGCAGCCAGATGGGGAATACAAAAATCTGACCTCATAGGAGGGGAGAATAAATGGGTGGTGAGCCGAGGCTACAGAGTATAAAGGGGGAGAGATGGGAAGAGGCTAACCAGTAGGAACCAATGAGTTATAGTGTCACAGAAAACGGCCATTAATATTTTCATTTAGAATAAAGACCTCAATGGTACAACACCAAATATACCAAAGTTATTTTAGTGAATAAATATTGCAGTTTACTTGCATACACAATTCGTGTGTATGTATATGTGTATATATATATATATATACGTATTTATATATGCATAGGCATACACACATATCCATATTATAGCTATATTAGGTAAAAGCATTAATAAATGTATATTTATTGGTATTTTTGTAAGTCTTGTACGTTCAGTTTGCAAACTAGATAGTACTTGTCTTAATCATATAAAACTTTTCTTTGCTGCTGCCATTGACACTATTGGCTATCATTTTTCACAGGAATGTTTCTGGCCGAGCTGATAGAGAAGTACTTTGTGTCCCCTACCCTGTTCCGAGTCATCCGCTTGGCCAGGATTGGCCGAATCCTACGCTTGATCAAAGGCGCCAAGGGGATCCGCACGCTGCTGTTCGCGCTGATGATGTCCCTTCCTGCGCTGTTCAACATCGGCCTCCTGCTTTTCCTGGTCATGTTCATCTATGCCATCTTTGGGATGTCCAACTTTGCCTACGTTAAGAGGGAAGTTGGGATTGATGACATGTTCAACTTTGAGACCTTCGGCAACAGCATGATCTGCCTGTTTCAAATCACCACCTCAGCAGGCTGGGACGGACTGCTGGCACCTATATTAAATAGTGGACCTCCCGACTGTGATCCTGAAAAAGATCACCCCGGAAGCTCGGTGAAGGGGGATTGTGGGAACCCATCCGTGGGGATTTTCTTTTTTGTCAGCTACATCATCATATCCTTCCTGGTTGTGGTGAACATGTACATCGCCGTCATCCTGGAGAACTTCAGTGTCGCCACGGAGGAAAGTGCAGAGCCCCTGAGTGAGGACGACTTTGAGATGTTCTATGAGGTCTGGGAGAAGTTCGACCCTGATGCCACTCAGTTCATAGAGTTCTGCAAGCTCTCTGACTTTGCGGCTGCCCTGGATCCTCCCCTTCTCATCGCAAAGCCCAACAAAGTCCAGCTCATTGCCATGGATCTGCCCATGGTGAGCGGAGACCGCATCCACTGCCTGGACATCTTATTTGCTTTTACGAAGCGGGTTTTGGGTGAGAGCGGAGAGATGGACGCCCTTCGAGTCCAGATGGAAGAGCGGTTCATGGCTTCCAACCCCTCCAAAGTCTCCTATGAGCCGATTACCACCACGTTGAAACGCAAACAAGAGGAGGTGTCGGCTATTGTCATTCAGAGAGCGTACCGGCGCTATCTCCTGAAGCAGAAAGTTAAGAAAGTTTCCTCTATATACAAAAAGGATAAGAGCAAAGAAGGTGAGGGAACGCCCATCAAAGAGGACATCATCATCGATAAACTAAACGAGAATTCAACTCCAGAGAAAACTGACGTGACACCTTCCACCACGTCTCCACCTTCCTACGACAGCGTGACCAAACCAGAGAAGGAAAAATTTGAGAAGGACAAATCGGAAAAGGAGGACAAAGGGAAAGATATCAGGGAAAGTAAAAAGTAAAAAATAAATAAATAATAAAATTAAAATAAAAAAAAAAACAAACAAGAATATTCCATTTTGTGATCAACTGTTTACAGCCTGAGTTGGTGATGTATCTGTGACTCCCTCAGGAGGTCTATGCCAAACTGACTGTTTCTACAAGTGTATACTTAAGGTCAGTGCCTATAACCAGACAGGACCTCGGGTCAGCCGACGGGGACTCACTCCACCCGACACACAGCAGGGACAGGAGGTTTCTGTTTTCACAACCAGCTGACATTGCTGAAGAGGACAGCGATGGCTACTCAGACTACAGGAACAAGGGACACGGGGAGGGAAGTTCAATTTTGATGTAAATTTAACACGTGACACTTGATAGCAGTAACTGTCACCACTGTTTGTGTTTTAACTGCCACACCTGCCATATTTTTACAAAATGTGTGCTGTGAATTGATCACCTTTTCTTTTTCTTTTTAAATTCACGGGTTGTTTACTCTTATACGTGACTATTTTTGTAAATGGGTTTACGTTTGGGGAGAGGGATTAAGGAGGGGATTCTACATTTCTCTATGTATAACGAGATCTATTTTCAATGAAGGCATGCTGCAGTTCTCATTCACACGTGAAACTATCCCATCACACAAGGAAAGGGTTCACTTCTTATTTCAGGATGTTTTTAGATTTTTGAGGTGCTTAAATAGCTATCCATATTTTTAAGGTGTTTCATCCAGAAGAATTTTAATGTGCCTGTAAATGTTCCATAGAATCACAACCATCAAAGAGTTGTTTTATTTTTACATATCTCATTATATGTACATGTATATATGTATATATGTATATGGCCGTGTATATACATATATATGTATACACACATGCATACACATGCACACACAGACCATCACATGCTCAGAGTCCTGGCAGCATGACTGTAACATTTTTTGATAAGTGTCCTTTGGCAAAAAATATCCTATCAATCCTTTCTAAGAAACCCGAACTGACCAAAAACCATCCCCACTGCCACTTTCTGAAGCTGATTCTGCTTTCTCCTGCAGTATTGTTTAGCCATCTTCTGCTCTTGGTAAGGTTGACACAGTGTATGTCAATTAAAAAAAAAAAGTCTGCTTTGTAAATAGTAATTTTACCCAGTGGTGCATGTTTGAGCAAACAAAAATGATTTAAGCACAGTATTACTGCATCAAATATGTACCACAGTTAAGTATAGTTTGCAAGCTTTCAACAGGTGACATGGTGTCATTGGTTCCCTTAGAATCTGAAGCTGTTACTGCTGCATGTCTCTCTTGCTGATGCTGCTGTATCTTGACCCTTCCGCTGTTCAGAAGTCTAAAAGGGAAGCCATATGTCAGAGCGAAGGCAGGCAAATCATTGCATCAGGAACGCATTCTCCATGACACTGAGCAATGGGTTACTACAGTAAATGAGGAAGAGCTCCCCTGTTCTATGTCCTCTCGACCTTCACTGAACACTCTGGTGAGAAGTCGGACCGTGTAAACAAGTGGCAAACTGCTGAGATCTGTTGAAAGTGTATGGTTAGAGTTTTCTAAGAAAATATAAATATTGTAAAAAAGGGGGTTCATTTTACGTTATTTTTCAGCCTTTTGTACATAAAATGAAAAATTAAAAGTATCTTCAGGTGGATGTCACAGTCATATCATTAGTTTCTGTTCCCAGCACTTCTTAATTAAGGCACGTCACAAAGTAAGAGATGAAGACTGAGAGGCGGTGTAGGTTTCTGCTCTCATTGTTGGTACTGTGGACTTGCACGTATTTCTACAGTTCTCAAGCCAAGTCGAGTGTTCATTTGCTTTCAGTAGTAACGCCTCATCATTGACAAGAGGTTTCAACGGGAGCAGATGATACTCTTGGCATGGCTTGAATGGGATGTCCTCACCTAGCATTTTCCCCTAGAATTCATCCATCTTTCCTAATGTTTGTTTACACAGATAGATAGATGGATAGATAGAATTTTACTGACCCACATGGCACTAGAGCTGTATCAGATATGATATAGGAACCAAACTTCCTTTCTTCCCTTCTTCCTTCCTTCCTTCCTTCCTTCCTTCCTTCCTTCCTTCCTTCCTTCCTTCCTTCCTCCTTCCTTCCTTTCCCTTTCTTTCTTTGTTTCTTTGTTTCTTTCTTCTCTCTCTCTCTCTCTCTCTCTCTCTCTCTCTCTCTCTCTCTCTTTCTCTCTCTCTTCTCTCCCACAAAACCAAGTAGTGAAATGATATTACCAATTACAGCAAAACATTTTGTTTCACAAACAACATTCAATGTAGTTTCTTTATACTAAAGCTATTGACTTGTAGTGTGTTGGTGAATGCATGCAGGAAAATGCTGTTACCATAAAGAGCAGTAAGCCACATTACAATCAAGCCAAAAGAATAAAGATTTTTGCTTTTGTTTCTGTATTTATTGTTTTGTCTGTGTTTCTATCTTCGAGATGCCATTTAGAGGTAAATTTCTATCGTGTAAAAATTATCTATCTGAAAATTTAAATGTAAAAAGTACACATTAAGTATAATTATTCATCTTTAAATTTTTCATGGACTGGAAGCTAAGAAGAGTGTATTGGATATTTAGTTTTAATATTGGCCAAAAAGCCCCAGCTATGGCACCTGGTAGAGTAGCGGGAAGTTAAAAAGATTAATAAAAATTTGACTAACATTTTAAGTTGTGCTTCTTTTCTCCTCCCTGTCTGTGTACTGTTTGATTTGATTCCCCCCTTTCTTCTTGTATTTCCTTCCTTGCATATTCACAACTGACTGCCCTGCGTCCTTCTTTATCCCTCTCTCAGACATTGGCAGTTTTCCTGGAAACTCTTCTCCTTGGTTCTTTTCCATTCACTAAAATCTTGTTTAGCCCTGTCCACACGGACCATTCCCTTAAAAATATTCTGCCACTTTGTGGATGACACACACAATCTGTATATTCATTTTTTTATAATTTCCTCAGCAAAACTTCTAGGAAAGCGTAGATATCAGTTTTTCATACTATAAAATACATAATCAAAATTCACAGGTTTGCATTTCCCATTTAATTATGAACAGTTTGAGAAGTGCCTCTCAACTTTGATTGCGTCTTTGAATTACTTGTGAAGCTTCTAATAAAAATGTCAATGTCGGATGAGCAGGCCAATTGAGTTCCTATCTCCGGAGGTGAGACCTAGTCATCTAACATCTTTAAGACTCTCCACTGCTGATGAATCATAGCAAGATTGGGAATCAATGTCCAATAGGAAATATTCTACATAAAAAACATCTGCCACTTCCACAGCCTATTATTTAGCTCAGTATGCAGTGAAGGTGTTGCTATGCTTCTGAAGTATTTATCTTCCAGTATAAGGAGTATGAGGAATTGATACTGATCCACTTAAACTCCTGTAGTATTCTATTTGGTGGAAATAATTAGACTATTAAAATGATCCTGAGAATGTCAGCAAGACACATATGTGTTCAATATGACACCCAGCCATCCATAATGTATACTGGGTAATTTGAATTTGAGAGTAGTTTAAGCAGTATTAGGAATTCATAAAAAAAAAAAAAAATAGACAACTCTAACATGCCCTGGTGCATGAGAACCAGTAATCAGGACTGATAGAAGTTCACAGTGATTAGTCAAGTTGTCATTAACATTCAAAGCTAGACAGTAGGGCTGGGGATATGGCTCAGTAGTTAAAATCACTTGCTGCTTTCCCAGAGGTCAGGTGCTTGGTTCTCAGCACCTTCATGGTGGCTCCTAATGGTCTGCATCTCCAGTTCTACGGATGCAACATCTTCTCTTGGCCTCTGCAAGAATAAGGCATGCCCGTGTGCGCAGACACACAGGTAGACAAGCTTTCCATACTCACTTTTTGAGAAGACTAGAGTGGAAAGACTCCAAAACTCAACTACTCTATTCTGGAAGCTCCTCATGCAATCAGTTGTTTTCCTGAGCTCTGTGGTGGACAGACCAATCTACAGCAGGAAAGACAATGGGAACACGGGGAAGAAATGGGAGAGGCCTCTTCCTGAATGATCTTGTGGGAATGCCTGCTGTGGGTACCAGCCGCTGTGGCGGCGAAAGGGCAAAGCAGAGAGGCATAAGGAAGAGAAAGCGTTCCTGCTTGTCAATATTGGGGATCTGTAAAGTAAAACCACATGTCCCTCCTATCACTTTCTGATGAAAAATACCCGTGTAAACTGTGAAGAGGACATAGTGCAGCTGATGGTTACAATGACCCCCTGGATCCACACACCGTGCTTTTGTAGTTGTTGTTATCCTGTTATTATGCACTAAATACAACTCAAAGCATCTACTACAAGTCGACTTCATAAGCAGAGCTGAGGGATACAGATGAGCCACCAGACTCCAGCAGTGTGGCTCCTGCTAACAGGACCAACACTGTGAAGAAAAACAGAAACAAACATGGATTTTTTTTTTTAACTAGCTCTCTGAAGGAAGAGCAAGGTGTGGCCATTCTACAAGATGTATTGGCTACCTTGTTACAAGATGCTTGTTGGCATTAACATTGTACAGAGTAAATGACAGCACTCATGAATCAAGCTAATACATTTGTGCTTCTAAGAATACCAGGGAAATCCCAGCCAAGATCTTGTGACAGTGCTTCAGGGAATGCAGTCCCACAGAGCAGACAACTAGTTTCTTGTGAGAAGCAGTGCTTACCCAGAGACTAAAAACTAAAGCAGTTTATCTCATGACCTTACAAAATTGGGCCTTAGCCTGGGGACAGGGAGGCAGGTGCTGTCCTGCAGATTTTGCACAGAGCGGCTGTTACATTCCGAAGGTTCCTGATAGTATTTCTCTGACCTCTGAATTCCTGGTTGGCTGAGTACTTCAGGGAGGTTCCCTGTTCCCCAACTATTGGTTCCTCCCGACCACCCTATTGGTTCCTGATTCTGAGCCTTCTCTTGTGTCTATCCAGAAGCTCTTCTGATATGTGTGTGGTTCAGCTGCTTCTGGAGGCGGTCCACTCCTGGGATGCACTAAATGAGCTACACAAGCAGGAATCAAATGCCTGCTAGGGAAGCGTGGGCCTAGTGCCTCCTCATTATTTGTGATTCTCTAATGAACTCTTAATGTACCTCATACTAAAAATTGAATGTAATGATTGACTTCTTACATCCTATGAAAGATGAAGTATGTAAGCATATATAGATCAGAGATACTTCAGAAATAACTGAGGAACAAAGTCTAAAGCCATTGGCAATTGAAAGAAAGTGTCAGTTTGGGATATTTTAAATGCTTCTTTTTCAGGCCAGTGAAAGGACTCAGCAAGCTAGAGTGCATTCCACCCTTACTGAAGACCTGAGTTCAATCTCCAAGACACACCTGGAGGAAAGAGAACCACAGCATTTGCACGTTTGCATGTATGTGTGTGCACATACACACTCGTACATGCACACACACACACACACACACACACACACACACACATTATGCACACACTAAATAAATGTGATTCAAAATATTTCTTAAAAACAAAACAATAACAACAAAACCACCACAGGATCTATAACTTCTTGTGGTAGTTTGATGAAAATGTCTCCCATAGACTCATACATTTAAATGTTTGGTCCCCAGTTAGTAGAACTGTTTGGAAAAGGATTAGATGTGGCCTTGTTGGAGGAAGTATGTCACTGGTAAGGGTAGGCTTTGAGGTTTCAGAAGCCAACACCAGACTCCTCTCTCTCTCTCTCTCTCTCTCTCTCTCTCTCTCTCTCTCTCTCTCTCTCTCTGCCTGCTCTATATAGATCAGGATGTAAAGCTCTCAGTTGCTTCTCCAGCCCTGTGCCTGTCTTCCTGCCATGATAATCATGGACTAATTCTCTAACACTGTATGTAAGCAAGCCCCCAAACAAATACTTTGCTTTTTAGAGTTGCCAAGATACCGCTGCATAAAGAAAGAAATAAAAATTCTGAATGATCATGTTTGATTATGCTACAAAGTTTAGGATGAAACATTGATTATCTGCTTAACTCATTGCTGTGACAGCATTCATTTGCAAATGAGTTTGCATTTGGTTTGGCTGTGTTCGAGGCACAGGCTCTCATTTTCACAACTACCCTATTTCCCATAAGGGTGAGGGGTTTGTTTCAGCAGAAACTACATTCTGAAAAGTTAGCAACTTGAAGCAAATGTTTTATTATACCATTTCTACTTTACACTTGCAGCTGTAAGCTTTAAAAACCTAATCTTGTCTACTTAAAACAAGGTACTGCCGGGCGGTGGTGGCGCATGCCTTTAATCCCAGGACTCAGGAGGCAGAGGCAGGCGGATCTCTGTGAGTTCGAGGCCAACCTGGTCTCCAAAACGAATTCCAGGAAAGGCACAAAGCTACACAGAGAAACCGTGTCTCGAAAAACCAAAAAAAAAAAAAAAAAAAAAAACAAAAAACAAAAACAAAAACAAGGTACTTCCGTCTCCCCCTGATTTGACATCTTCCATAAAGGCTTTTCCTCTCCTTCATGTCTGAATTTTTGGGGGAATACAGGAATGCTTAGGTACTTTGTATGGGATGCTTTTTTTAAGTATTATAATTTTTATTACGTTTTATTATATACCAGGTCACAAAAGGCAATTTTAATGAAAGCATATGGTATGCTTTAAACTTGCCTGCCTTCTGTTTTGTTTCCCACTCCTTTCTCCTGGCCCTCCCATTTTAGTATCTTGTTTACCTAGACAATTTCATGTCTACTTTCATAACATTTGTACATACATGAATTAGATATCTGTATTAAACCCGGGGCCCACAAATGAGATAATGCCTGTGATATTTATCTTCCTGAGACCAACATAATTAACTTAGTATTGTTTCTAGCTGCAGCCGTTTTCCTGAAATCAATGTGACTTTATTCTTCTTTCTCTTATGTATATACACTACACCTTTTGATATCCATTCCTCTGTTGACAGAATCCTAGCTTTGAGACATAGCCCAGCTATTGTGAACGGAGCTGTAATCAGCATTGACATGCAAGGATTTCTGTGGCATGTTCACTTGGAGTCTTTGAGGTAAACACCCAGCAATGATATATCTGGGCCATGCTGTATCTATTTTGAGGATTCTCCATACTGACTTCCATAGTTTCTGGATAGTTTGCATCCCATCTGCAGTATATGGCAGTTCCCTTCTGTTCCACATTTTACCAGTGACTGTCATTCTGAAAGGGATGAGATGGAACCTCTATATAGTCTGTATGCAATTCCCTGATGACTACTGAGGTTGAACATATTCTTCGTATTTTTATTGGCATTTGTATTTCGTCTTTTGAGAACTGCCTCCTTGTTGCATTAACCCACTTGCTGATTGGGTTGGTTGGTTTCTTGTTATTTCATTTTCTGAGTTTCTTTGTATTTTCTAGATAGTAATCTTCTGTCATATGTGTAAGGAGCAAAGATTTCTCTCCCATTCTGCAGGCTGCCTTTTTACTGAACCACTTCCTCTGCTCTGCAAGCTTTATAATATCAAAAAAATCCCATTAGTCAGTTGCTGGCATTCTTTTGTGAGCAACCAGAGTCCAGAAAGTCTTTACCAATGTTGATACCTGAAGTGTTTTTCCCCCCTACCCAGTTTAGGTCTTACATCAAGATATTTGATCCATGTGGAGTTGATCTCTGTACAGAGTGAGATAAGGATCTGCTTTCACTCATGTATTTATTATT